GGCGCCGGTGGGGTGCCTTGGGCTGGCCTGTGGCCTCTGGTAATCTGGGACCCCTAGGGAAATGTTGGAGAGCCAGTTTCAGCTAATCCCCATAGGCCTGGCAGAGGCCCCACACTGGTGCACGAATTCGCGCACCGGGCCTCTAGTAAAAATATATTAAACAGAGAAAGACAAAGAAAAAGATCTGAAGCTTGAAAATATTAGCCCAGCCCCGGTAGACAAGGCTTGAAGACATCACTGGAAATAGTTTTCATTTCAATGACCAGTGTTCTCATTGTTTGGTCTCCTGAGGTTCGTCAACCGATACTACCCTCTCCAAAAAAAGAACGAATGTTTGGGAAATTACAGGTGTTTTATGCTGATCATATCTATCCTTTGAGGAATTAGGAGGGATGCCAGAGCACGTCTCTGAAGGCTCGAACCAGCTCTGTGTGTGGCTTTAGTGTCTAGCTCTGGATGCATTTGGGTTTTTAATTCTTTTTAGCACTAAACAGCCCCAAACAAATCCCAGTGATCATAAAATTCATCTACCATCGCACCAGAGAGAGGAGGCTGGAGGGGGAGTCGGAGGGAGCCCCAGAAATCTATTTCAAGACATCCATGGTTGCATTTAAGAGATCACTGACTGCTGATTAATTCAGTGGCTTAGTGTCGACCTATCAACCAGGAGGTCATGGTTTTATTCCCAGTCAAGGGCACATGCCCAGGTTGCGAGCTCAATCGCCAGTAGGGGGCTTGAGGGAGGCGGCCCATCCATGATTCTCATCATGGATGTTTCTCTCCCTCTCGATTTCCCTTCCTCTCTGAGTCAATAAAATCATTTAAAAAATTTTTAGCAATTGTTGCATTCAGATGACAGTCACATTGTTTTAAAATAGTTTATTATTTTGGGGGGGTTAACATACCAGGTGGGTAGTCGTTTAAAGGACGTGCCTCGAAGCTCCCTCCCCAAGTCCTTCTGTTCATTTACTGACACGGTCTCGCCTGTGTCAACAAGATAAGTGATTTCTTGCAAAAGGGCCTGTAATTCAGCAGACAATTCCCTGAGGGGAATGCGTCATACGCTTCCCCTGTTTCAGAGTAAATTTGCAAATGATCTGGAAATCTGAGGTGGGCCTGAGAGTTTGTTATTTAGGCAATGAGCTCTGGTGGATTTATTTCAGTTTGTTATTATTTAAAATATATCTTTATTGATTTTAGAGAGCCAGAGAGAGGAAGAGAGAGAAACATCCGTGATGAGAGAGAATCATGGATCGGTTGCCCCCTGCACGCCCCCTACTGGGGATCAAGCTCACAACCCAGGCATCTGCCCTTGAGCGGAAATTGAACTGTGACCTCCTGGTTCATAGCTTGATGCTCAAACCCTGAGCAACACCGTCTGGCCATAGACCATTAGTCTTTATCCATGGAAGAGATGTGCAGAAATCACATAACCATTTTCCTCCAATTTAGGTCCTAATCCAACCAAGACAGGGCCCAGTGAGTGCATATTTTTCCATAACTCTTATAGGTCCTGTAGAAGCCTGGTCAAAGTCCACATATTTTTTTAAAAAATATATTTTAATTGATTTCAG